CTTTCTTTTCTATTGCTTGATCCTTTTTAGGCTTTACTTTTTTTATACATACATCTTTATTGCTATCAGAATGATTTACAATTGTTTCCTCATCTATTTTAACTTCCGGTTCCATTATTGACATATTAACTTCGTATTTCTCTTCTTGCAAATCTTCAGTAACATCTGCCTTATCGTAGTTAACATCCATATTATGATCTTGGCTCGTATCTATAGATTCAATTATCACCGTCACCTCCTTATTCTGAACCACATTTTCCTTTAAATCCAGTTTATCTCCATCTTCCATATCCTTATTTATTTTACTCAGTACTCTGTTCACAAAACCTTCATTACCACTCTCATCGTTTACTTCGTCTTTCAATATTATTGTTTCGTTTATGTCATTTATGGATGTTTTTTCTGCTAAAGTTTCTTCCTTCACACGAATATCACAATATTCAGGTTGTTGATATATTTTTTGTGTCAAAGTTGAATTGAGGCTGTTTTCTCTTTGAGATAATGATTTTACGCTTTTCAATGTTAACTGCTTGGATAAAAAAAACAAGCTTAAGCATAGCACTAAGGGCCTGTCGTACCAAATTGTAAATTGTCTGATAATCCAACGTGTGAAATATGTGATGGAAATATCGGTTTGTTTTTTTATAATATAAGGTGGCAAACGAGCAAGCGGCCTAAATCCGCCGAAATGGAGTGACCGCTGCACATAAACATCCGCAATTGCAGCGCTGCCTACCATTCATTGATGGAGACGCACATAAAGAGGACATTTTCCCTTCTTATGCGTCTCCTCCACCATCAAATCCAATTTTCCTTCCCATCCTTTCTTCTTAAGAAAAGGGTGGAAAGGGAAAAGGACTAAAATTAGGCCTCCAGCACCACACTCATCAGACTGTACGCGGAATTGCTTCCACTTGACGCCTGTCTGTGGTCGTGGTATTGCTGAGAGTCCTACAGTGCGAAGATGTTAAAGCGGGCTTTACCACTGTTACCTTATCTGATAGTGACGTCATTTTTAAGCTATTTGAGGCTCTAAGTGATTCAAAAAAATGAATAGAGTAGGCATAGTTGAGATATATTTTAAACTATTCTCACTAACACTATCTATTGATTAGACCCAAAGCCATACTAATCATACTAATATTATAAATGCGAAAGTTTATATGGATGTATGTTTGTTAGAGTTTGTAGCCTAAACTGCTCAACAGATTTCAATAAAATTTGGTATAGATGTAGAGGATAGTCTGGAAGAACACATAGGCTACTCACTTTTGTTTTTTTTATCTCCACGCGGACGGAGTCGCGGGCGAAATCTAGTAGTCTATATATTTCTTAAATGTCTTAGAACTAAATATAATTGTTTATATTATTAAATACTACATTCAATAATAGTTTGTCTAAATAAGGTAATAGCTCGCGCAGGTCCAGCTCTACGGCGTCTCGCCAGCGGTATCTGGGTCGACGGGCCTGCTCGAGCTAGAGTCATTCGACTGGCAGGCGACAACGCAGGACAGACGACGCTGGCGCACTTTCGTGTCGGAGGCCAAGACCCACTTTGGGTCGCTGCGCCAACGCAGTAAGTAAATAAGGTAATAAAAAATTAAGAAGCAAACTCTGTAGGCCATTATTGATTTGAGAAAACAGAGTTTTTTTATTTTAGTCCATCATATCATATAGATATTATAAAAGCGAAAGTAAGATGGATTTATGGATGTTTATTAGAGTTTGTATGTTTTCTAATACCACGCGGACGAAGTCGCGGGCAACAGCTAGTTATAACTATGAATCTATCGATTCCAACTTCCAAATTAAATGATTTTACACAACCCATGCTTATAAAATTGTCAATCACCCTTATTTAGACAAACTATAAAAATTATATTCAAAAAAACTTACATGTGTCTCAGTTGATAATAAATCTGTCATCAGTCGCTGGCTCATGATTGCCTTGTTCCTAAACCTGTGACACGACACAAGTCTGTGTGTGCACTCCCAACACAACTTCTGCGGCAAATTGTCATCCTCACTCGGCTGAAATGTCACTCATTGCACACACACAACAAAGATAACTGTCTATTTGTCTACTGACATTAAACACAAAACTCACCAACAATCCAGTTATTTCTTGATATGGCAAATCTAATTTATAATCTGCTATATGGTACAGCTTTCTGTCCGTAGCTAGACATATCCTACAAACCTGAAAATAGTGAACAATTACTGGCAGAGTTCCAGTTAGCAGCAGAAACAAAAGTATAAAAAAAACACAGTAAATAAATACTGAGAAATGTCCAGTTATAGATAACACAGAATAGATTTTAAGAAAACATCAAGCCATTTAAATAAAAGAAACAAAAACATTTTGAACTTGGCAGTAAACAAACACAAGTTTTCAAAAAAGAAAAAATAAAAATTACAAATATTTTCACCTTTAAAACTGCAGATGCATTTAAATCTTCAATAGAATCCTGAAATAAACCAATCAGCTGACTTTACTATACTCAATACCCACTGCGGGCTCGGAGCCTACCCTTAGTTAACTAGGACATAGTGAACCTGCACTGACTTCACACATAAAAAAAAAATAAAAACCTCTTTATTGCCATCCAAGAATACACACATATCTTTTGAATTTCTACTCCAATATGTGCAGGCAAAATTTTCGTTCACCATAACATCAGGTTAATGGACATATGTGCAATAAAACATTGGCAGTTACAAACCATAAAAAAGTCAGTATTTAACACTTGCTGTTGCTTACAGATTCGTTCCTGTGACATTTAAAAACGTACCCTATGTTACTCACAGATAAAAGACCTTTCTAATGGTGAAAGAATTTTTTAAATCGGTCCAGTAGTTTTTGAGTTATTTCAATGCATACAAAAATACAAATCTTTCCTCTTTATAAAATACTAGCTTTCGCCCGCGACTTCGTACACTTGAAATAATAAATTATAAAACACTATGTTACTCACTGACAATAATCTTACTATTATAAATGCGAAAGTTTAGATGGATGGTTGGATAGATGGATGGATGGATGGATGTTTGTTAGTGTTTGTAGCCTAAACGGCTGAATGGATCTACATGGAATTTGGCACAGGTTTAGAGCATAGTCTGGAAGAACACATAGGCTACTTTTTATCCCGGGAATAGTTACGGTTCCCATGGGATTCATTAATTTAGTTTTTTAATGTTTACTCGATCATTCTGCAACGGTTCAACATATCTTATTGAAATTTGGCACAGATATAAAACAAAGTGTGGAGTACACATGGGATAAGCTTCACCAAGGGATACATAGCTTTTTATAATTTATATAGTTTGTATGTTTTCTAATACCACGCGGACGAAGTTGCGGGCAACAGCTTGTGTAAGTCTAAACTGTTAAATGAACCTCAATGAAATTTCGCACAGATATAGAGGATAATCTGGAAAAACACATAGACTCACTTTTGTTTGTTTTTTAATTACATGCAGATAAAGTTGCAGGAGAAAGCTAGTTGATAATAAAAAAAATGATCTTATTTCTTGCAAAACATAAATACTTATTTAAAATACTTTACGTCATAAGGTTGGTCTTAGTACTCAGAATAACTAGAGAAAAATGTTGACATTACTTGTTCATGTACTGGTATGGCTCCATTCTTGATTTTTCTTAATCCAAATTTAGTTTTATAAAAATCTTCAGACCGGAAGTGTTCAGAGCACACAGAACTGCGGTATTTCGGCTCCCAATCCATCTTACCGAGAGCTTCTAGCCATTTAGTGCGCAAACTAGCCTCCTTTGGAAACCTGGAACAAGTGATCAAAGAAAATTCTATTTATTTATTTAACAACATTAACAAACTGACAATTTTATGGATGATTAAAGGTGCGTACATCACGTTGCAATTAAGAATAAAAACCATACGTATATTTTAACAAAAACTTACATGTGAAATGTAATTCCATGACGTTTTGTTGTTCGCTTCGTATCATTCGTACAATTTTGCACAATACAGCGCATAGTCTGGTTTTAATTTTATTGTTTCATACATGATATACGAAACATATTAGCGTTCTGTGTTTAAGCAATGTAACAAGACGTACGGACACATTCATATCCGTTACTATGTTAAGATCATATAAGAAATTAATTTATTTAGTGTATATCATATTTCTACACATACATTCTTATAATATAATAAAATTGTTTAAAACCTTCATTGGGAATAGTAACATAAGACACTGACAGCTGACAGATATGTATGACAAAGATTTGATCTGGCCAAAGAGTATATAGATCTGATTTTACCTTTCTTCTTTTCTTAACTAGATCCGGTTTTTTTATGTTATTTTTCTAGAAAGTACGAAATATAAAGTGCAAAATTATGTGCTGATTTTTTAAGATGATTATTACAGCATTTTATCAATTTAAGTGTATCTTTAAAAAGTAAACAACATTTTCATCTCAATTACATTTACCCCATTTTTCCGCTGGTAGCACTGTTAAAATAAATTGTAGGGACAAAGTCAGAGTATAAACTTAAGCTATTTGCAACGAGAGGTTGGAACCTAATTTACTGCATTTTTGTAATTTGCTATTTTGTGTTTTTGAATTAAGATTGAACAAAACCGCGCATTATGTCTGATTTGGTTAATGAGAAAGAACAACAAAAATGCAATAAATTGCGTCTCTTAAATTTTAGTTATTCAGGATTTTAGATTTTTAGTATGTCAAAGGTCACACTTTTTAGCACCACCCTTGTTAATGTGACATATTTTCTATTTAGTATTTATGCATTGAAATCGAGTGATTCGAAATAAATTTCAATAATGATAAAGTAAAATCAGTATTATGATACTTAGATAATATATCTTGAGAAAATTGGTAACAATTTGAGGTACCCACCCCGCCCTTCGTCACACAAATTACTTCACATGTTAAAACACCCTAACATATTGCCCCCTTAGTTTTTATTTTGTTAATAAAAATAAAAGTCAATTTTTCATTTTCAATATATATTTTAATGGATACTGCAGTACTAGAGCTATCCCTAGTCGTACTAGGGATGCCCCTTGCCGTACTAGGGCCACCCTTTGTACTAGGGCTGCCCTTTGCCGTATAGGGCCGCCCTTTGTACTAGGGCTGCCCTTTGCCGAACTAGGGCCGCCTTTTGCCGTATTAGGGCCGCCCTTTGCCGGACTAGGGCTTCTTCTTGTGCTCCGCTTTAACCTGAAGGCCACGTGATCGTCTTGGCCATGGCTTCTTAAGATGTACGTGATCATGATGCATACGTTTCTCTGCATTCGTTTTGAATGTTTTCTCACACGCGTCGCATTTGTATGGTTTGGTTTCACTGTGGACCTAGCAGAGACAAATTACATTTATCGATACTAATGTTATAAAGAGGAATTTGTATTTTTGGATTTTTGTATGTATTTGATTGACGTAAAAACTACTGGGACGATTATTAAAAAATCTTTTACCAATAGAAAGGTAATTTTTGTGAGTAACGTAAGCCATGCGTTTTTTATTATTTTTTTTGTTTTACGCGGGCGAAGTCTCGAGCAACAGCTTATTACACGAAACAAACAAGTTTTTCGGACAGACAGACAAAAAAAATTTAAAGGCGAATTACGTTATCAGCAACGCAAATACATCATCTTTCTGAAATCTGAAATTTTTCATTTGATAATACAGACACTCCAATTTTATTACATACTAACTTTCACCCGCGACTCCGTCCGCCTGGTATTAGAAAAAACAAAACTGAATATGCCTGTGTTCTTCCACACTATATTCTACATCTATGCCGAATTCATCGAAATCCGTTCAGGCGTTTAGGCTACAAACTCAAACAAACATTCATCTAAACTTTCACATTTATAATATTACTAGCTGTCGCCCGCGACTCCGTCCGCGTGGAATAGAAAAAAAAACAAAAGTAAGTAGCCTATGTGTTTTTTCACACTATATTCTACATCTATGCCAAATTCATCTAAATCCGTTCATCCGTTTAGGCTACAAACTCAAACAAACATCCATACATCCATCCATCTAAACTTTCACATTTATAATATTATTTAATTACGTACATAGATATAGAATAAAAAGATTATACTTACAATCATATGTCGTTTGCGATTTGAAGGAAAGGAGAACTCTTTACCACAGATCTTGCATCCGTAGACAGGACGCTGCTCGCCGTGATACTTCTCATGCACTTTCAGACCAAAATGGCGAGAAAAACTTTTATCGCAAAGTGAACATTTAAATCGCTTCTCTCCTGTATGTATCCACATGTGGTCTAACAGTGCTAGTTTAGACTGAAAAAAATTACCTACTAATATCATAAATACGTGGATAATATACGAAATGAGTATATTAGAGGAAGTGAGAGTATCCCCAGTGGTAGAATGTAAGGAGTAAAAGGTTAGCATGATATGTTATGAGGGTTGAATCGCATGTTACAAGAACGTTAGTTATGAGTGTACACCGGTAGAGGTAGACGTAAGAGATGGATTGCGTTAAAGGCGACATGATGAAGGGAGTGACTGAGATGACAGATGATAGAGTGCTTTGGAGGACGAAAGCCCGGTGACGACACGGGAGTAGGATAAGTCAGGGGAGATGATGAACATAAATGCGAAAGTTTAGATGCATATCTGTTAGTTTGTATTAGGGTTGTAACGGAGGCCATTTTAACGGAAGCGGACGCGCAAGCGAAGGGCTTCACCTCTGCAGAAGCGGATTATAACAGAAGTGGAGCGGTGGTCAATAATAAAATACTCATTGCGATTTATTAAAGAAATAAAAACTAAAACCACGTTAATTCAAAATACAGATTGGTACATAATTACAAGATACAGTTTATTATTCAAATATAATGTATAACAATTATAGTTAGTTGACCTAACACGCCCGCGCGGGCCGCATAAACTATACCTAATTGCCCCACTCGTGTTAAAGACGTAAATTAATCTCCGTTATAACTCCGCATAAGCAATAACGGAAGCGGAAGCGGTTGCGGAGTGAATATTCCTTGCAGAAGTTCCGCACTTACGGATGCGGAAGCGGAGTTCCGTTACAACCCTAGTTTATCCTAAACTGCTGAAAGGATTACTATGAAATTTGTCATAGCTGTAGAGGATAGTCTGGAAGAACAGATATTTACTTTTGTTTTATAATTCCACTTGGAGCTGTGAGCGAAATCTAGTAAAGTACATAATAAAAGTTTTATAATACGAGTAAAACCGCACAGGAACTATAACTTACTGGGAATATCTTCCCGCATTGGTCGCACATACGATTGGTGCCGTTTACCTCAGGGTACTGAGTGCGGTGCTCTCCGGGGTGCGTTTCGGTGAAGTGACACTTATATTCAAATATACCTCGCAGTTGAACACCGCACTGTTCAAATAAAAAAATCAATCAATGCAAAAAATCAATAAAAATAGTTTATTGCATATAATAAAATTGGAGTGTCTGTAAAAGAAAAATCCTAGATATCGGGAAGATGATGTGTTTGCATTGTTGACAATGAAATTTTTTGTTAATCTGTCTGTCTGTCCGCAAGCCGCGTTTGTTCCGGGTAATCTCCGAAACGGCTGGGCCGATTTCGACCGGACATCTTCTCAAAATCTGGAATATTCCTTTTAATATTTTATTACAAACAGACACTTTAATTTTATTATATGTATAGATATATGCAAAGTGTAAAATTGCAATTAAAAACATGGGATAAGACAGATTGATTGGAATAACGAGGAACTTTTTTAATCTTACTAATATTATAAATGTGTATGTTTATATGTATGTTTGTTAGTTTGTATCCTACTGCTGAACGGATCTCGATGAAAGTCATTTTAAAACAGTGGTAGAGCCCGCTTTAAAATCTTCGCACGAATGGGCCGGCTTGCCCGGTGTAATACCACGACCACACAGAAAACAGGCGTGAAGTGGAAGCAATTCCACATTTCGTCTGATGAGTGTGGTGCCGGAGGCCTAATTTTAGTCCCTTTCCCTATCCACCGTTTTCTGTATAGGAAAGGATGGAAAGGAAAAGTGGATTTTACGGCGGAGACGCATAGGAAGGGGAAATGTCCGCTTTATGTGCGTCTCCTCCTCTATCAATGCAGGGTAGGCAACGCATTTGCAATTGCGGATGTTTATGGGCAGCGGTCGCTTTCCATTTCGGTGGATTCAGGCCGCTTCCTCGTTTGCCACCTTATATTATACAAAAAATATACATGTAAAAGACAATCTGGACAAACATAGACTACTTGCTTTTGTTTTTTTAATTCCGGAAGTCGCGGGCGAAAACTATTGATTACTATAAAACTATTGTCGATAAAACACAAATATAGACATATTGTAGTGTTGCAAATTTATCACCTGTTCACATTCGATAAGTTTGGGCTCCGGTTTGCTAACCTTCGTGGCAAAGGGCCGCCCTTTGCCCCTCCCTACAATCTCCATAGGTTTATCCATACCAACATAATCATTACGAATTTTATTCCTAGAAATAAAATATAATTATAACAAACCCATAACAAAGGGTAGGAAGTAGAAACAACGAACTTCTAGACTACGTAAATGATCCCTTTTTTCATATTCTATGTTAACAAAGTATGGTTTACAGTCGAACGGCGGGATTCGAACCCTCGACCTCAAGATCGGTACTCCGTACCACAAACCTAGGTTATTGGCTCTTAAATACAAATTAGATAGTGCTTTTACATTGATTGAAAAAAGAAAAAAATTACATCAGATCCACAGAAATGGAATACAAGCGATACTACTAATATTATAAATGCGAAAGTTTAGATAGATGGTTGTTAGAGTTTGTAGCCTAAACTGCTGAACGGATTTCAATGAAATTTGGGATAGATGTAGAGGATAGTCTGGAAGAACAAATAGGCTACTCACTTTTGTTTTTTTTTAATTCGCGCGGACGGAGTCGCGGGCGGAAGCTAGTTTATAATATTAGTATGATTTCCATTGAAAAACAAATACATCGGAAATGCAATTATAATGAACACTTACAAAACATCATCAGTGCTGTGTTTGGAGGAGACTTTGAGATGTGTGTCGTAAGCAGTTTGTGAAGCGAAACTGACTTCGCACACTTCGCAGTACGGACCCTCCAGACACGACTGCAATTTATTGTTATACACTGTTATAATGAAGCGTAAACACACTCTTCTTTGTGGCTTAAGATGTCAGCAATCACACCATATTTTTGAAAAATATTTTTATAATAAAAAGCCGTACACTTACGACACGCTTTAGGCTACTTATTTTAACGCCATTAAACTTAGGGGATAAATATTTTGAATATAAAATCTAATGTGGGAAAGAGACCATAAGTTGCTGCCAACATCAAGAAAGCAAGATTGCCAAGGTTTGTAATGTCATTTTGACATTTGCTATTGATAATTTGACAAATGTAAACAGTAAAACAAAGATTTTATAATTTGGAAAAGCTAGTATATAATATATCTGTTAGTAACAAAGGCTATATTTTTACTATGTTTTTTTAATTTTCACGCCGGTGAAGTCGTCGAAATTTTTTGTAACAACACCGCGAAATCCCGCGACTGTACATTTCTATGGGAACATAATTAAAGAGCTAGAAATATCGTTAAAAATGCACTTACCTTGTGATTACTGTGTTTTCTTTTCTTATGACTTTCTACGCCTTGTTCACTTATAAATGTATACCCACAAAGTTCACATACAAAATCTGATACGTGTTTGAGTCTGAGATGACTGAAGTAAGAACTCCTTTTCCTGAATACAAAATAAATATCAACAACGCCAAAATATAATACTAGACTTATTATTATAAACTAGCTTGCGACCGCGACTCCGTCCGCGTGAAATGAAAAAAACTAAAGTAAGTATCCTGTGTTCTTCCAGTATCTTTACATCTATGAAAAACATCGAGATCCGTTCAGCAGATACAAACTAACAAACATACGTCCATCCAAACTTTCGGATGTACAATAGTAAGAAATAAAATTTCTATTTTATAAATGCGAAAGTATAATTAGATGTTGGTTGGTTAAGAGTTTTTTGATTGTCATACATGTAGAGATACTGGAAGAACACTTAGGATACTGTTTTTTATTTTTTTCATTTCCACGCGGAGTCGCGGTCGAAAGTTAGTCCTACTATAAATGCGAAAGTTTAGATAAATATTTGTTACCCTATACCTCCAAAACGGCTTAAAGGATCTCGTTGAAATTCATCACAAATATAGAAAATAGTCAAGAAGATATAGGGTACTGAGTTTTTTTTTATTTTTCACAGGCGGAGTCGCGGACAAAAGCTAGAATAAAACTTACGCAAACTGCGAGGGACAATGCGGACATTTGTAGGTAGCGCCGTTGTGCCATTCTAAATGTCTTAAGGCGACATCTCTGTAAAAAATAATATATATTAATAATTATGGCAACTATTGTAGTTTTCAAATTATTTTATGTTAAATAAAAAGTTCCCTATTTTGTACAGCACTAACTTTTGGAGTCGTATTCAATATTGTAATTTTTTCAAGATGGTCTCAAACTTTTGGCCGGCAGTGTATACTAATATTATAAAGAGGAAAGATTTTTTTGTTTGTATTGAAATATGTCAAAACTATTGGATTTCAAAAATTCTTTCACCATTAAAAATCTACGTTATCAGTAACATAGGCTATATTTGTAAATTTCAAGTGGACGGAGTCACGAGCAAGAGCTAGTATGAAATTACCTAAAATTAATTAAAAAAAAAGACTGACATCGAAAAAATATTAAAAAATTAAAAAAAAATGACTAATGTGTTTCGAACTTGGTTTTTTAGAACATTTTTTTTAGAATTTGGATTCTCACGTCCACTGTATGTATTTCATGTCAATATAATATCCCCTATGACACTGTGCAGAAGAAGACGAGTCCAATGACACCTCATACATCTAAATCTGTTCAGTAGTTTACTCTATAAGCTGTTACAATGGAATTTACAAACTTACATATGGACGAAAATAATGTCATTCTAAAAAAATGACAATTTTTGTGCGTCTTACCTATGTTTGGTGACAAAATCACATCTCTTACAAGCCATTTTTTCAGTATGAAGTCTGTTTATGTGGATTTTTTGCGATTTTTTTGTCATCATCCGAGTTTTACAAACAGGACATTCGTAATCCCCCCTTTCCTAAAAAAACATACACTTAAAGGCGAACGCTCGCTCGCGACTTTATCATGGGATTCATTAATTTAGTTTTTTAATGTTTACTCGATCATTCTGCAACGGTTCAACATGTCTTATTGAAATTTGTCACAGATATAAAACAAAGTGTGGAGTACACATGGGATAAGCTTCATCCCCGAGAAATGTCCGGTTCCCGGGATACGTAGCTTTTTGTTATTTATATAGTTCGTATGTTTTCCAATACCACGCGGACGAAGTCGCGGGCAACAGCTTGTAATTAATAACATACCTTACTATGTTTCATTTTGTGTATATCACATCTATATTGATGGTTAAATCCAATATAACATATGTCACATTTAAAAGGCGCGGTTTTATATGTAAAAGTGTCTTTCCGTTTCGATATCTCTGCAATCTGTTCCTCGAATGTCAAATTAGTGACTGTAAAGTGTGTGTCAACTAATTCATACTTCGGTCGATTTTTTCGTTTCATTGTCCTTCTCTTGATAATTTTATTCCTGTAAAAAAATATCTATCTATCTATACTATTATAATAAAGCGTAAACACACACTTCTTTGTTACCTAAGATGTCAGCAATTACAGCATACTTTTGAATAATCCTTTATTTAATAAAAAGCCCTACGCTTACGTCACGCTTTAGGCTATATTTTCACGCTATTAAACTTAGGGGGGAAATATTTTGGTTAAAAACCCTAATGTGGGAAAGAGACCATAAGTTGTTGCCAACATCAAGGAAGCAAGATTGTCAAGGTTTGTCATGTCATGTCATTTTGACATTTGCTATTGATAATTTGACACATGTAAGCATAAAAATTAAATTTTCATAATTTTATGCGGATGAAGTCGCACGTGAATAGCTAGTAAATATTATAAATGCGAAAGTTTAGATGAATGGATGTTTGTTAGAGTTTGTAGCCTAAACTGCTGACCGGATTTCGATGAAATTTGGCATACATGTAGAACATAGTCTGGAAGAACACATAGGCATATTTGTGATTTATTCCACGCGGACAAAGTCGTGGGCGAAAGCTAGATATTTAAGTAAATGTAAACTATTTCTATTCATTTTTAAAATCAACTTACCCGTCTTTATTAGTTTTTGCATCGTCTTGATTTTTACTATTCACTTGCGTCTGTGTTTTATTTTTTATAGATATATTCTTTTTAATGTCTTTTCGTATTATCAAATATTCTTCATCCTTGACATCATTTTCACTCTCAGAGTCGCTTCCTGATGTTTCATCCTCGTCTATTTTTACTTCAGGTTCCATTATTGATATATTAACTTCGTATACTTTCTCTTCTTGCTCTTCATTACCAACATCAAATTGGACACATTTCGTATCCTTTCTCAAATCAATAGCTTTCTTGTTCTCGTTTTCTATTGATTCTTGATTGTTGATACTTTCGTTTAGTTCAAGAAATTCCTCGTCACTATTTATTTCTTCTTTAATTGTTATAGTTTCCTCTATATTATCATTTTCTTCATCTGTTTGTTCTATGACTTCTTCTTTCACATGTATATCACAATATTCAGGTTCCAGATATGATTTTTTTATTAAAGATGAATTAATTCCAAGTTCTTTTTGTATTGATTTTATACATCTAACTGTTAACTGAATAATTTACATTATATGTCTAAATAAGATAGATTAGTTTGATTGGCGCATATGAAGTATTGAATTCGATTTGTATGAATAAATGACGTACTTAATAGACAGGTATCGTAGTGAAACACGCAGCGAACAATTATGAACTATCGATATTCAGTTTAAATAATTATCAAACACAACTAAAATTATTATTTTCTTATTAACTAATTTAGAGGACAATTCTAGTATTGATTATAGTGTAGAGAATTTAGCGATAACAGAAATAATAGCGAAATCCAATTCGATTACGTACGGCTGTAGTAGTAATAAACATTTACTCTCATTATTTATAATGGTCATTATTAATTTGAGAAAAAAGAGTTTTTTTTTATTCATAAGTTAAAAATATAAATCTATCGTTTCCATCTACTACTTGGCCGATTTTTTAAATACTACCACTGTTAGAAAGGTAATTTATCTGTGAGTAACATAGGCTTAGTGTAGTATAGTTTTTTTTAATTTCACGCGGGCGAAATCGCGAGCAACAACTAGTATGATATAAAAAAACATAAACGACAGACTGAAGACTTAACATTATATATGTCATGTAAATAAAACTTACATGTGTCTCAGTTGATAATAAATCTGTCATCAGTCTCTGGCTCATTATTGCCTTGTTCCTAAACCTGTGACACGACACAAGTCTGTGTGTGCACTCCCAACACAACTTCTGCGGCAAATTGTCATCCTCACTCGGCTGAAATGTCACTCATTGCACACACACAACAAAGATAACTGTCTATTTGTCTACTGACATTAAACACAAAACTCACCGACAATCCAGTTATTTCTTGATATGGCAGATCTAATTTGTAATCTGCTATATGGTACAGCTTTCTGTCCGTAGCTAGACATATCCTACACACCTGGAAATATATTAATCCTTACAAGTTTGCATTTTTTTTATAACATAAGATGGTAACATTATAACAAGCAAGCAGCCACCTCAATCTGACAAAATGGTAAAGCGACTGCCCATAGATATCCGCAATTGCAGCGCTGCCTACCCTTAATCGAAGGAGACACATATAAAGAGAAGGTTTCCCCTTCCTATGTGTTTCCACAGTCAAATCTATGTTCCCTTTCCATCCTTTTCTTATAAGTAAAAGGGTGAAAAGGGCCTAAAATTGGGCCCTGAAGCACCACACTCATAAGACTTCATGTCTGTCTTCTTTGTGGTCGTGGTATTGCCGAGAGCCCTACAGTGCAAAGATGTTAAAGCGGGCTCTACCACTGTGTATAATTTATCATATATGTTAAACCTTTCTTCCATAGGAGATATTTTCTAACATCCATCTTAACCAGGGATGTTGCGAATATTCGCATCCGCATCCGCAAAACTCCGCTTCCGCATTTGCATCCGCGGATGTGAAAACATCAACATCCGCATCCTTGATCTAAACTTTCACACTTAGTGTGCCCATCTTTGACTAAACTATCAGACAATTGTTTAGTCCCGCTATGATTTAGTGCACAATACTCGATATTTAGTTGTGCAACTAAACAGTTGCTGCGAAACAATCGACAATCGCACAACTGTTTTGCGATATTTTAGTCAAAGTACACACTTAAAAAATTTGAAATATTTTAGATACCTTTAGTATTGCTGATGAATTTAAATCTGCATTAGAATCCTGAAATAAAGCAATAAATAAATAAAAAAAGTGTTACTTAAACTCTGCTTTCATTAATGGCAGTCAAAATAATTGCCAAGAAGGTATAGTGAAGGGGACTGTCTCCCCTCTTTAGAGATGGAAATTGTAAAATATTTCTTTTACTACTATACTATATTGTCTGGAAGAAAACATAAGCTACTAATAAGGGTTTTTTTTTATAATTTCAGACAGTTGGTGCAATATTCTTCATATCTATAGTAATATTCTAAAGAGGAAGGATTTGTATTTTTTTTATGTATCAAAACAGCTAAAACTACTGGACCGGGGAAATACCTTCAACATTAAAAAGCTATGTTATCACTGAGTAACATAGGCTATATTTTTTTTACAAATTTTATTTTCATGTGGAGGAAGTTGTGAGCAATCTATCTATATTATTATAATAAAGCGTAAACACACACTTCTTTGTTGCCTAAGATGTCAGCAATTACAGCATATTTTTGAACAAATCTTTTTGTAATAAAAAGCCCTACACTTACGTCATGCTTTAGGCTATATATTTTTACGCCATTAAACTTAGGGGGTAAATATTTTGGATAAAAACCCAAAGATGGGAAAGACACCATAAGTTGCTGCCAACATCATTAAAGTAAAATTGCTATGGTTTGTTATAGCATGTCATTTTGACATTTGTAATTGATAATTTGACAAATGTGAACAATAAAATAAAATTTTCATAATTCCATGCAGATGAAGCCGCACGGGAACAGCTATTCTTAATATTAGTAAGAGAAAGGAGGAACAAAACATTGACATTACCTGTTCAAGAACTGGTATGGCTCCATTCTTGATTTTTCTTAGTCCACATTTTGTTTTACAAAAGTCCTCAGGCTGAAAGTGTTCAGAGCACACTGTACTGTGGTATTTTGGCTCCCAATCTGTCTTTCCGATGGCTTCTATCCATTTAGTGCGCAAACTTGGCTCCTTTGGAAACCTGGAATGAGTGATTGGAGAAATTTATACTTTATTTGTATACCTTTCTCTTATATATTTCTATACTAATATTATAAGAAGGAAAGATTTATATTCAGGGATGTTAACATGTATTGGAATAGCTCAAAAACTACTGGGCCGATTTAAAAAATTCTTACACCATTAAAAAGCTATGTTTTTGGTGAGTAACATAGGCTATCTCTATAACTTCACATGGACAAAATTAAAAGCAACAACTAGTATACAATAATAAAAAAAAAACTTATTTATATTCTCTCGTCTCGGAGGACAAGACCCATTTTGGGTCGCTGCGCCAAAGCAGTAAGTAAGTAAGTATATTCTCCTACTTAGGGTGCTATCTTGTGTCACCACCAGGCTCTTGCTTTCCAAATAAAAAAGAAGTAAATAACAAAAGTAATAAACATTTCTCATTTCAATAAATATTAAATCACTAGCTTTCGCTCGCGACTTTGTCTGCGTGATATTAAACAAAACAAAAGAGAGCATCCTATGTGTTCTTCCAGACTATCCTCTACATCTATACTGAATTTCATCAAAATCCGTTCAGCCTTTTAGACTACGAACTGTAACAAACATCCATCCATCCTTCCATCTGAACTTTCACATTTATAATAATAGTAAAAAGTAAGATAGAAGATAGATTGTCAAACAGACTAATATCTCTACGCTCGATCTATATATACAAAAAAGTATGTAATATTGACATTGCATCTATTAAAAACTTACACGTGAAATGTAATTCCACGGCTTTTTCTTGTTAGTTTCGGATTATTCGTACAATTTTGCACACTACACTGCATCTTAAGATTTTTATTTTAACTTACACGAATTGTAATAGTTTTTTTTTTCATTGTTTCATTTCATTATAACGATAATTATATCAATTTTATCTATTTTAGGAAACTTGAGTTATTTGTTGATTGTTCTTTAAAGAAGATTGTTTTACACTAGAGATGAGTTCTAACGAGAGAGTTGTCGGAAAAAAATTAAAAAGAGCTAACGTATTTTAGCTCACTATTTCAAAGTAAATCATTTTATCTTTAAGTTTTACAGTATAGTTTATAATTTTTCACTCGTTTCATTATTCAATAATTCAAATGTGTCACTTATAAAACCAACTTAAATGGACTATATTTTGTTAATATATTATTTAGCAGATATCTGTGTTTGTGATTAAAACATACTGGTATATACAGATCACATCTGCGATCTGCTGATTTGCTAACCAGTTCACTAAATTTTATCGTGCGTGAGAGAGACCTGTGAGCTGATTTGCAGATCTTCACTTCACTTCACTTTTGTGTTAATGGCGTTTCCATAGAGATTTCGCCAATGTCAAGTACATATAATACTCTAACACAACTAAGACTA